AATTGAGAATCCCAAACTAATGGCGATTGGATGAGCTTTGACGTAAATGATATCAAAACATAAAGTAGCCTTAATCTTCCACCGAGTTAAAAACCTAGCTGGGTAGCGGTCATATTCTATATTATAGTCGTAATTATAAATACATCGTAAATACCTCAGTAGTAAAATTCAGTTGATAAGGACTCTTAACAGTCTTTATTAGCTGTTATCAGTTCCTATCATCGATCGTCTACGATCCCGCCATACTCCACAACACATGCCAAACTGTCAAGGCTCCATTATTAATGCCTTCATTATAGTGGATCTACGCTTTGTAAGATTTTCATTAGCCCTTGTCAGTTTTATCAGCCACTGGCTTGGCACCAACCATTCTCGATCTCGTCACCGAGTACCTACGATTCTGTTACATCTTACCTAACCTATTGAAATTCCAAGATTCCATTATAAACAGGAAGGGCGTTACAGATCTAATGGCTCTCGCCTTCTATGTTTTTTTATCAGTCCCTATCACTCGCTATCATTCCCTGTCGCCAATCATTGACGGTCCTTACACATCCTACATCACCTACCAGAGTATCAAGACTTCATTGTTAACTCATAGGGAAATATGGGTCGGGTAGCTTTTGCCTTTTAAGGCTCTTTGTCACTTCCTGTCAATTGTTATCACCTCCTACCCCCTACCATCAGTATTTCCATCCTGTCATCTGTATTCCTTGCATAATTGAATGTTCTAGGTTCAGTGGGGCAGGAGTTATGAATTTCCGGTCAGACAAACACACACACACAAACACACCAACAGACACACTGAGCCGATTATATAAGTAGGATTTTGTAAACGGCTCAAAGTGGAATTACAAAGTTCATCTAGATGACTACATCCGCGCTGCTAACTAATTGTTACATAATTATGCTGACACCTCGTTTTCGAGCTGAACAAAGCTTTAGAGGTAATCTGAAAATTGAGCTTAAGAATGATTTTTTCTTTTGTCGAGTGTGTTTGGCCCTCCTTCCACGCCCTGCTCTGAGCTTCAATGCACCAAAACAAGAGGTGGAAAGAGAGTTCGGTTTTATTCTAGGCTGAAGTCGGTCAAATGGCAGTATGCTAAAAGTGATGTATGTGGCGTATTTCTGAGCAGCTGCTCATTGCTAAACTTTCTTCCCTTCAGTCATGGAGTCTCGATTCTGTTGTTTTTAATTTGCTATTGTTAATAACACATGCGAAGGAGACAGGGAATTTTTAATGCGAAGTTTATTTATGCAGAAGTCATAAATAAATTATGTGCATCGCATATATTTGTGCTTTGAAGACTCGCAAAGCTCTGATTGGGACTAAAAGTTGAAGTCATTTCGAGTCCACGGCACAGGCTACCCGCCCTTAAGCTGAAAAGCACTAGATTATTCGTTGTATCATGTAGCCTTTGAGGGGATCGTGTGGTTTTACATAAAGAATGGGTGAGATACTAGACAAAAAGATGCTCCTCTTTGCATGTTTCTTTTCTCAATCCTTCTAATGAAAAGGTGAATGTGAGGACTTACCATACGACTGATGTCGACCGATATGCCGCTATCGACGAACATCCGTGCAGCGCGGCCGAGGGATTTAGCGAAATCACCTGGAAGAGCAAAGAGAATTACTCTCTGCAGCCGATCAAACTTTTCGATCAAGCAAAGCGTATCCTACTCACTTTCGAGGAGAGTGTAAACCTCAGGCCAGATGTTACGCATTTCGTTCTTAGTCGACTGATCAGTTTTGGTGTAGCCTTCGTAAAAGTCTGCTATGAGAACGGCAAGACGATTGACGATCTTGTCTGGTGGCGCGAAAACGACTTCGAAGACACGGCCTAACCACTAAGTGAGGAATAAGTATTGGTCAGGAGAAAATGCAACAGAATATAAGGGTGGGTCGACAGCCATGCCCTTCAGTGCGTGGACTGAAAAGCCCATACGGCTATGCTTAAGTTCGAGGCATTGCATCTTTACCATGAAAAAGCGCGGAATTTGACTGTTGTTCACTATTGGTCTGTTCGAATGAAAATTCAGAACTGTGGTAAAGTCAGTGAAGTAGAATAATAGTATTAGATTGGGCCGAAAATGTGGCATTGGCATACGGCCGCTTTTTTGTGCTTACCATATTGAATCGTTTTTTGGCTAGTGGTGACAATTTGTTTATATTTTTCTTAAGCTTGTCCATGGCTTCACCGACTCTTTCTCCAAGTTCCGGTGTTCTACAAATGAAATCTTCTTTCAGTCAAATATTTCTAGTGCAAGTGCAGCCAGGAAAGAGAAAAGAAAAAAACCCAACTATGACTGACCGTTTTTTGAAGTAATCAATGAGTTTTGGGGCGTTGTTTGGTATCTTCAATTTGCCATCTTCGATCTCGTTTACAATTGCCACCATTTCATTCTTTGTTTTGTCCGAAAGCTAAAACTTGGTTAATTTTAGCGTCAATATAAATACTGCTTTTATCTAATTGCTTATGTCATACTGAATGGCAACTTGATCTGTTGTACACTGTAAGAATTGGTCGTATCTGCGACGAATTCGTACTCTGTACAGTAGTTCGCGTGTGATCCGATGTTACAAAAGTCTAAACATCCCAACTTTTGTGTGTAAATACCTACTCCGGTGAAGATCGTTTGTATCTCCTTCGGAATGTAACCTGAAATGAAGAAACACATTGAACATCGATAATGTGAGCATAGATAAAGTCTATACACTCACCAAACCAAATATGTTGATTAGAAGATACGGTCCCGCTACAGAACTCATGCTCGTATTTAGCTTTCAAGTCAACTACTCAATCTCGGAAGGAGCAGCATTAATGAGTGAAGCGCACTCTCTCAGATATCTTTTACAAGGGCCCTATGTGTGAGTCTCGTCTAGCTGATGGTGTATCTTCAAAATTAGCTCTTTGATATCAGTGCGAAGTGCGGTAGGTGCGCGGGCTGTTCGTGGGCTGGAGCTTGCTATACGCTGTCGAGAAGCTTGGCTCAGAATTGGTCCTAGTTCACAGATAATATCAGGAATTCTAATGAATTTCAATGTCAGGATTTGTCCTTGGAAGGAGGCTCAGATGTTATCAGTACGAAAATCGAAATGAAATCATCAGAAGTATGAATTCTCTCTCTACGCAACGCGAACCTTTGTAGGCGTTGAAAATGGCGAGGTAGCGATCAAGCTCAGCTCTACTGAACGAAGTCTTCGGCGTTGCGTTGACAAAAGCCGAGATGAGGAGCAGGCAGGGCACGGTAAACTTCATAGTGAAATTGGTCTGTAAATGGATGACTATATTCTTTTGTCATACGATCGAGGGAGTATGCTGCTAGAGCAGAGATAGAGGTGTTTGCCATTCAGTCAACATAATCTGCAACCCATTGGTAGCAAGGAGACTAGAGAGGTTGTAAGAAAAATGGTGACGACAAACTAGGACGAAGGAGAAATTGTGGCATAATTCTCAGGTGGTCATCAATTGAACGTTTATTTATACTAAATTTTGGATTGTTTTGGAGGCTGTTAGCATCGCATTAGTGGCACCGAGAATTATAATGGCCGGTGACGAATTCGATAACAGCTTTGACCGTTTACAAGGATGAGTCAAGTTTGGTATTCACGAGTACATGTATTCATGTGATCCATTTATTCCATTTGTCCGATGAGCAACCCTTAATGTAAATCGTGCATTGAGCTTCATTACAGAATTCTGTCACCGCCAAATACGGTATTTAGCAATGACATTAGATTTCGGAGCTGGTTCTGGATGTATAATTATATTTGTCTTCCAGTCCCTGTCCGTAACAGTCCCTGTAAAGCGTGGATGAAGGAATTGGCTCACTTAGGTGTTCCCACTCAGCGCTCCCGAAGCGGGAAGCGCTCAAGAGGTGACAGTATTACTAGCTAGCAAAATCCAGTGCACTCTTCCAAATACCGTTTTGATTTTTGAATATCGCTCTTTTTCTGCATTTACTATCTACATCGATTTGAAGATCGAAGTGTTGCCCGCCAAGATGGTTACATCCATTGCTGAGTCGTATATTCATTCCAGTTTCTTCATTGCTGCGTTCCAAAACGGAAATTTGAGCACCATGAAGGCACAGTATATGACACGGTAATTCTTTTCCTCACTCTTTGATTTATCGAACTTCGAGGCTATAAGTTTGCTACCCAAAAATTTTTTATGGGAGACTGCTGATTTTCAGTGATGGCACTCTACGAGTTATTCGTGCATGGAAGAGCTTTGCGCGAGTTTGCAGAATCTGAAGGGCTTCCTGTAGCAGCTGAGAACTGCCCGGCATGTTTCAATCAGGCGACTGCGCGACATAGAATCAAACAGGTATACTTTCTTAGTATTGCTAATAAGTGGGACATCTCTCAATTTTTACCGGCGCTGCTTGCTGGATTATTATTAAGAACAAAACGACCTTTCAATTATAACTTAATCAAATTTAGTTTTTAGGCAGATAAGTGATGCCCTCAGGAAAATCTTGTTTTTCGGATATGATAAAGTGCAGGTCTTCTTGCGAACTTCTTGCTATAGTATTTGCACTGACTCGGTCGTCAAGGTGGGGTGATGTTAAGGCCTCAGGAGCATGATGAAGTCAAGTCGCATGCGTAGATCTCGAATTCTGCTGTTAGAATTCAATTTGAAACAAATAGGCCGGGAGGGGCTCGGTAAATCGTCTAACTCCCTCATTCTTCGATCACTGGCTCACCGGGACAAAAATGATTCTCGTGATGTCGAAAGGTATCAGACTCGAATGATGTGTGCCACGGAAGTGCGAGGTGAATTCGCTGTCACAGGAGCTACGGGAAAGTGTAATTGTCGATGGTGCTTATTCTGATCGATGCTCTTGCGCATTCGTTTTACTTCTATTCCGTCTTCTGTTCTCTTAATTCCATCGTCTTTGCCTTGATCCTGTCCCTCTTATTATATGTTTCAGCTTCTCGCTCAGCAGAAACTCATTTTTCCTGATCTCTTCAACTCGCTTAGTTCAGCTCTCCGGCCTCTTCTTTTAAAGAGTAATTATAATGAAAGTTTAGCATAAATTCAAATGGGTCCGCTTGAGGTAAAGGACTGATTATACTAACTTTGTTATTATATATTGTTGTTATTAGTAAGTTGTTTTAAGTTATTTGTTCAAGTCATTTTCATAAGTGGACTTCATATATGGAACGGCATAACGGGTGTTGTTATCTTAAAATCAGTTAAAACTCTGCGCTTGGTTCCTGACCAAAGATTTCATGAACTGGTGATTTAATGCCAACTATTTGCAATTGTTGTGTTGAACATAAAATAATTTCCAAAATCGTCACAAAACTAGAGGTCCTTCGCAAGTCATCTTCCAACTTGATATGACATGCGAGATAAAGCTTTTTATCATTATCACAAGTAGATATGTTTTGTATTCGTCCGGTCGTAAGCTACTTTGATTTTGTTTACTAATGTTTTGCTTTTTGGCACTACATCAGGTTTACAACCAAAACTAACAATCAAAACGCTTGTTAATTTATTGTTCGAAAGAAGAGTAAGGTAATGCTGGGAATGATGAAGACGTACGGTTGTCAATGTCACTCTACGACTCTTTGGAAATGGTTGTTTTGAAGAAAAAAGCATTAGGCGACTAGGGCTTTCTGCGTGATCATGTGATGACGGCTCATGTTTCCACTCCTATCGTTCAATTTCCTCATGGAGAGGAAATTCTCCATTATTTTGGATCAGCATCCTACAGTGGGCTTATTTTCTCAGATTATCACTCCGTTTTTGATCTGTTACGTTTAGTGAAAAGTTTTGATCGTTTTTTCATCCCTTTCTAGCTTCTTTCGCGGGGCCATTCGGAAGAATTTCGCAATAGGTTATGGAACACCGTTCCCGTATTGTACTTGAGGGAATGTATTAGGTTGTCGGAAAAGTATTTGCGCCTTTTGCAATTTTTTTTAGAATTTATTTTTTTCCTTCACAGCAACGAACAATTAGCAAATATATGCACCATTATTATTGACAAGGTATTGCCATTCATCAGGCAACTTGTG